GGAAGCGATTTTGGCCTCCTCCCCCTCCCCACATGCTGGGCCGGGGCCGCACCCCATGTGCTTCTGGATGGGAGAGCCCCCTGGGAAGGGGGTGGTGCAAGGACTGCACAGGCTTGGGGAAGGTGGGCTCAGGAAGAAGGGGGTTACCCAGGCTGTGGTCCCTGCGGAGGTAGAGGATTCTGACAGCTGGAGGGGCGGGTGGGAGCTGTTTGCCATGGAGGAGGCTGTGTGTGTTGGCGGGTTTGCCCGGTGTCTGTGCATGACCGTGTGCGTGCCTGCACAGCCAGGGCTTGCTGTGGTGTGCACAGCTGGGCGATGTGTGTGAGTCCCCATGGGCCCACACCTGTGCCCACAGCTGTGAGCGGAGAAGCATGGCTGCTCGCAGATTGCCCAACCTGGGCCCAGCTGGGGCCCCAGGCCCTCCCCTGGCAGAGGCCTGACCTGAACATCTGGCCACATCTGCCCATAAGAAAGGGAGTCTTGGAACCAACATCAGAGCTAGAAGGGTCCAGCCCTCCCCCTCAGTGCACACAGCCCAGAGAGGGACAAGGCTTGCGCTGGGTCACATGGCAGATGGAGGCAGAGCAGGGACCATCCCCGAGTCTGGAGAGCCTAGGCCAGGACGGAGGCCCTCCTGGTCCTCACTGTTCCTGTCCGCCCCCTGGTGCCCACTGCCATCGAAGCTGCATGGAGGGTCCTCGAGGCTGGCCCTGCCCTGGCCTTGCTGTGTGCTCCTCCAGGGAAGTCCCAGCTCGCCCCTCTCGGCCAAACCTTCCTCCCCTGTGCGCGGGCACCTCTGGGAGTGGGCTCTGTGGTCCCTGCAGAGGCCTATCGCCGGGTGCCTCGGGCTCATCTCTGTTTGCTGAGGACTGTCCTGGCCTCAGCGCTGGAGCCCCCATCCGGGCAGCCCCTCAGCCCACGGCAAATGACAACGGTCAGTTGATCTGTTGTCAGGGACGTTTCTTTCCACCAGGTCCTGCCCGCTGCTGCCCCTTCTCTTCCTGTCCAGGCCCTTTTCCTGCCCTCACTTTGCCAGGGCTCAGCCTGCACAGCCCCTTCCTCCCTGCTCCTCTCCCTTCCCTCTCGGTGTCCCGTCTGCCTCGGTCTCTCTGCTGTCCTGTCCCCAGGATTGTCACCTTGTTGATTTCTGGAGTCTGTCTCCGTTCTCTGCCCACTTCCGCGTCTCCCCTCTCCATCTAGTGTCCTGCCCACTCTGTCTCCCCGATCCTCACCGTGTCTCCGGCTCACCACCTTCCGTGGGTGGTCCAGGCCTGCCTCCTCGCCCCTGGCACGCACCCCCGGAGCTGGCTGGCTGGGGTGGGAGCCAGGTCTGGGGGCTGTGACCGGCAGGGACGGGGAACCCAAGCAGACATGATATTTATGTTAGGACTTCAAAGTGGAGCGGAGCCTGAGGCAGGGATGGCGGGGGCTGGCGGGTGGGAGGCAGTGGGAGGGTGGCGGCAGAAGCCAGACGAAGGTCAGCTCCGGCCCCTCCCTGGGGAAGGTCTCCTTGGTGACACATACCTCCCGCGTGGGACACTGAGACCCAGAGTAGGGACAGACGGCTATTTTGGTGCAGAGTTCCAAGAAAGGCACTTCCTGTGCCCCGGCTCTGCCCCCAGCCCCATCCTTTCTTCCTGTCACCCCAGGAGCAGCTGGGTCCTCTGAGCATCGTGGGCCTG